TATTCATGAAAATAATTGAATTCCTGTCAAAAATTCTAATATTTTTGTAAATAATTGAATTATTGTGGAAAATTTTATTAAAATGTTTAAAAAGAATTGAATTTCTGTGAAAAATTTTGTTATTTTTGAAAATAATTGTAATTCTTCATAAGAATTTTATAAATATTGTTTTAAATAATTAATTTTTTCGAAATATTATAAATATTATGAAAATTTTATTTTAAATAATTGAATTCTTGTGGTTCTTGTGTTTAATTCTTGTGTTTAAATAATTGAATTTCTAAAAAGCATTTTCTTATTTATAAAAATAATTGAATTTTTTCGAACGATTTTATTTAGAATTTTTCAAAACAATTGAATTTCCAAGAAGAAATTTATTACTTTTGAAAATAATTGAATTCTTGTGATGAATATTGTTATTTATGAAAATAATTGAATTTTGTCAAAGAATTTTATTAAAATGCCTCAAAATAATATTGAATTATTGGGAATAATTTTGTTATTCGTCGACATAATTAAATTCTTTCAAAAAAATTTGAATAAAATTGTATTTAAAATAATTGATTGTTTTCGAACAATTTTATTAAAATATTTGAAAATAATTGAATTCTTGTGAAAAATTCTAATATTTTTGTAAATAATTGAATTCTTTCAAAGAATATAAAAAAATATTTTTTAAAATAATTGACTTTTTCAAGGAATTAAAATTAAATTTTTAAGAATAATTACATTTTTTGAGAAATTCCTGTAAAATTGTATTAAATATAATTAAAATCCTGCTATGAATTTTATTATTTATGAAAATAATTGAATAGTTGCTAAGAATTTTATTAATTTTATTAATTTTCAAAAATAATTGAATAGTTGCTAAAAATTTTATTATTTATAAAAAGTAATTGAATTATTGCGAAAAATTTTATTAAAATGTTTAAGAAGAATTGAATTTCGGTGAAAAATTTTGTTATTTTTGAAAATAATTGAATTCTTCATAAGAATTTCATAAACATTGGTTTAAATAATTAATTTTTTCGATAATAAATATTATGAAAATTTTATTTTAAATAATTGAATTCTTTGTTCTTCATTATTTTGTGAAAGTTAATTGAATTTTTCGATTAAATAATTTAAAATAGTATTAAAAATAATTGAAATTCTTCCATGAATTCTATTATTTATGAATATAATTGAATTCATGTTAAGTATTTTATCAGAAATTTTTTTTTAAAAAATTGAATTTCCATGAAAAATGTTATTTGTAGTAAAAATATTTGAATTATTCTGAAAAATTGTATATAAAAATTTTGTTAAATAATTGATTAATTTCATTTTTTCGAATTTTTTTTTTTTTTGAAAATGCTATTCTAAATTAATTGAATTCCTGTGGATATTTTATTATTTATGAAAATAATTGAATTGTCGATGAATTTTAATTTTTTTATTTGAATTCTTTTGCTAAATTTTATGAAAATACTAGATATTGAAAATGAATTTCGAATATTTTTTGAAAATAATTGAATCATTTTAAAGAATATATACAAACGAGACAATTCGTTACTCTTATATTTATAATCCAATAAATTTTCAACGAGTGACATTTATTAATTTGGGAAATAGTTATTTTTTTATTTCTATATAGGTACAGGGACATGAATTTGCAAATTATTTTCAACCCCTTTCTTCAGGATTCTCGTAAACTCTGATAATAAAGAAGAATTTCAAACTGTCTCTCTCTCTCTCTCTCTTGCTTTTTGGTTTATTAGCATAAATCCTGTGAGAATAAATTGCAGTTATACATTTTATCTATGTAAACTTGCCTCACCATATTGCATTAAACCAACAGCTGCAACCTAACTTTGTTTTCTCTAAAATGGAACTGTTAATATAATAATATTTACATTTATTGAAAATAATATAATTAAAACTTATTTTATAACAAAAATTTGTATTCTAACAATTAAAAATTTTCATAAACATAAATATATACAATATAAAAATATAAACATATAAAAATATAAATATTTAAAATCATGACAGAAATGATTTAAATTGCTCTTCAAATAAAATGTGAATTATTACTCGTGCAGGTAGAAATCTAATAAATTATTTCAACTTCATGTATTTTCGATTTTATAATATTTATATCTATACACATTTATTTTTATTTATTAATTCATTTACCAACTTATTTATATTTATTTTATGACTTTATTTATTTATTTATTTATTCATTCATTTATATACTTATTCTTATATGTTTATTAAATTACTTATTTAATTCTAAAAAAGTAATTTTGCAATACATAATTTGTTATTTAAAGAAAAAGTCCATAAAAACTTGAAAGTGTTTCAAATTCTAATTTCAAGAATTATATATATATGAGAGAAATCTTTTTGACATTCAAGGCCGTCTTAAAAAAATACCGAGGGAGAACGAAGGTTGAAAGGGGAAAAAAGTAGAAAAGGTATTAAGCGTGAAAATTAAGAATAAAATAACAGTGAATGATCTAAAATAAATCTGACTTCGTACATAAAAGAATTTTTTTAACTAATTGAAAAAAATTTTTCATTTCCCTTAAATTCAACACTAAAATGTAAAATTGAAATAACAGGATTAAATATTCATCATTATGTGTTCAAATATTTGAAAAATTTAAATTATTTATTGAAGAAATACAAAAGAAAAAATTTTATATTATTTACATTCGTTTATTTATAAATTTCTTCTTATCTTGAGTTGGTGCCCTTGAGTTGCACTTTGATTTGAAAAAGAATTTTTTAGTTGAACATATATATATTTATGTAAATTTTATTTGTAAATACAGATAATAAAACTAATATTACTGAAAATTATCAATATTAAAAAAAATTTTAATTATTTCAAAAATAGAAAATATAAATTAATTAGATGAGAAATATTGAAATAGATTAATAAATAAAAAAAATTTAATATTTAAAATTTTTCTTTCTGTTTTATTTTTAATTATTTTTATTTAATATTTAATTTTTTATTTTACTTTTTATTTTATTCTCAAGTATTCAATAATTTTTCAAATGAAAAAAAAGTAAATAAATTTATTACTTTTGTCAATTTTTTTATAGTAGAAATAATACATAAACGAAAACGATAGTAAATAATAAATAAATAAATTATTTTCTATTTTGTTTGTAAAAAGTTGTTAATTTACAAAAAAAAGTAAACTAAAAAAAGCAACAAAACTTATTTACATTTGTTATCACCCTAGTTATAAAACTAATAATAAAAGTGAAAGAAAAGTTAATTAAATGAGTCAGCCTTTTTGTTGTTGGTCAAAAGTTAAATTGACTTGCGCATTAATTAAGCGAACCACTCGAAAAGATACACCGGAAGTTGATCTCCTTAGATGTTTAAGCCGAGAGCTGAATTCTAATCCGTCAACTAACAAGAAACTAACAAGAATCTCGGTAAGTTAGCAAAAAAAAAAAAAAGAAAAAAAAAGAACGCAAATCTATCTTCACTTAGGGAAAACTTACCGAGGATCAGTGGGAATAAGAAAAATAAGAAATTCTTTTCCCCTGTGACCCGATTTTATTTTCCAATGACAAGCCCAAGGCTTCTTAAAGAGAAAGAGTGAGAATAAATAGTTATTTTCGTAACAAGGGCGCAAAATAGGTGATTGCGACGATGGCGAAATGAAGGGACCGAGGGGACACAATTTCGCGCCCGAGGCGAAGCCGAGGGAGCGAAAGTGTCCCCGAGGTCCCGAAATTTCGCCAAAGTCGTAATCACCTTTGCGCCCATGATGCGAACATAATTTTTTGTCCTAACTGCATGGAAAGTATGGCATTGAGGGCACGCACGATTAAACTCTCATATTAGTTAAAAATTAAGCTCTATATAAATATTATATCGAATGAAGTCTCTAATGATAGAAGTTTTAAAATAGAAATAAAAAACAATGTATTCTGGAAACATAGTATTTATTTAGAACGTAGTAATTAATAATTGAACAAAACTGAAACAGGAACTTTTAAAATTGACAATATTTTGATAAACGAAATGGAAACAAAACCAAATATCTCATTATTTTTTTTAGAGAAAAAAAAAATTGCAAATTTTTATAGACAAAATAAAACAAGTTGAAAATGTTTGCAGTTTTATAGTCAACATAAAAAGAAAGTCGAAAATGTCGCATTTTAATGAAGAAAATCAAATAATTAACAAGCGGGCGGTAAAGTATTTTCCGCCCGCTCGGAGGTAGGGGAAGCGGGCGGAAAATACTTTACCGCCCGCTGACGTCATACAAGCGGGCGCAAAATACTTTTCCGCCCGCTTCCTCCACTCCCGGGCGTAATGTGTTATTTTGCGCCCGCCTTAAGTGCCCGAAATGACATACTTTTCGTGCAGGTAGGACAAAAAAAATTTTTTTTTTAAATTTAAAAAAAAATTAAAATTTGTAAATTATTATTATTCTCGATATTTGCAAAATACAGTAAAAAAAATAATTAAAAATAAAAAAAATAAAAAAAATAACAAAAAAAGTTAAAAAAAAGGTTTTTTTTTAAATAATTTAATAATAATTATGATTTTAGAAAAATCAAAATTTTAGTTCTGTACCCCAAGATACAGAATTTAAAACTTGATCTGTTTCAACGAAGATAAAAAGTTAAAAAAATAAAACTAAGTTACAAATTTTGTTTCTTTACAAAAAAGTATTTTTATAATTTATATTTATTACACAAAAATCAAAAATTATTAATTGAAGTTGAAAATATTTTTTCTGCATAAGTAAAGTTAATTTTAATATTCTTACTTTTACTCAAATATATAATAAAAAACAAATTTGTAATATAAATATACTATTTAAATTTCAAGTTCAAATTATAAACATCAGTAAAAAAAAATCATTTTTATAAACACCGAATTTTTAATTATTTAAATTGTTACATATATGATAAATTATAATTCATATAAAATAAAATTAAAAAAAAAGAAATACAAAAATTATTAAATTGTTACTTACGTTAAATTTGATGATATTCCGACAATAATAATGCAACAGGGACAAATGACTAGTAAGTAAATTGTGCCATTATGTGAGAAGAGACTTGCCACTGAAACAAGTCACGTGTACGTGAAATATGCACTTTATTGGGAATTATATAAAATAAAAAAAAATAACTTTCCATTAACTGCCGCGCTTGAAAACACGGCGAATACTGACCAAATAAATGTGTCTGACGTTAAACGGTCAACATCACTGATTATTTGCGCGCGCATCAACAACATGTGGAATTCCCCCGCGTGTGCGCTGTCAATTTCTCCCTTTATACGTTATTCTCATAGAGAAAATATAAAAACACACCCATAATATTTTTTTTTAGGATTTGAAAAAAATACTCTTTTAAATTTCTGGCTTCGTTATCTAAGTCCAAAAAATCTAGAATAGTGAACCTCAATCGAATAACATTAGTTTCAATATTATGAAGAAATGATTCCATGTCCATAATAAAGTTATCGAAACCTTTATAGTAAATTAAATTGTCTTTAAATTTTTGTACGTTGCATAAAGATGTCCTATCGATGAATTTTAGGGAAGAAAGAATTGCTTTATTGTCATAAGTATGAATAGTTGTCAACTAGTAGAATCAAAAATTGGTAATGGTACCAATTTTTGATTCCAATGATGTTACACTCCATTCTTCAGAAAAGGATGAATCTGAATTTTACCAAAAAGTACAAATTTACGGATTCGTTGAAAATTACTATACACAAATGTTGCTCTCAGTGCGAGACATTGAAAATTTAAAATCAACATCTTTTAGTCTGTACGTAATCCAATCATTCCAGAATCAAAAGTACAATCTGAGTCTGATGTTAAAAAAGCTGTAAATTATTATAATAGGCCCACAACTGCATTGCAATATGCTTTTGATGCTTTAGGTTTTGGTGACGAACTCTTCTTGATAATTCTTATCGACTACATTGATTCAACAATAAGTATGAAACAAATCAAACATAACATTCATGGAGTTTTTTGGAATGAACTTTACTTTTCGATAAGTTTAGAAAGAGATGGTGATGTTACTTTTAAACATGAATTTTCAGGCGATACGGAGAAGAATAAAAGTCCGTTAAATAAAGTTCACAAATTCTCTCCGGATGATAAAATAATTTGCTATCACCGAGAACCAAGACGACTGAAATTTAATTTACCCGAATTTAATAGTGTAGAAGAAAAGAATTCATTTGTCTTGACACGTTCACGTACCACAGGTAATAAATAAATTGAAAGTCATTAATATAACTATAATTCATAAAACCATTAATGATTTTAATTAAATAAATATAATTAATGATTAATAATTAACTACTTACATTAATTTATAAATTTATTTATTTTTTTATTTCACCTTCGAAATGTTGCACAAAATTAATTTTTCTAAATTAGGTATATTTAAATGTTGAAAAATTTTCATTTCCCTAAATTTTATTCACTCGAATTATCAAATGACATAAAACGCATTTACCCCAATCCTAATGTGACATAACCTTTAAATTTTCGAAACGTCATATTTTAGAAATTTTCATTTATAGAAATTTTATTTGTCATAATTTTTGTTTACTCGAATTTTTACATGATTTAAAGTATTTTTAACCTAATTCCCATATGACATATTTTTTAAATTTCCCAACTATTTTTTAACACATAATGCAAGTCACAGAAATTTCATTTTGTCTACGTATTCAGTCCGTAATTAGTCCGCAACAATCTAAATTTATGCCCGGTGAAGAATTCTTATAAAATAAGTACGGAATTATCCGATATCAATATGTAAAGAATACGGAATCAGTCCGCAACAATATTCCGAGTTTAATCAAGTTAAAAAAACTTAATCCGCAAAATGTTCGGAGCAATCCGAACTCTGTAAGCAAGAAATCCGGTATTAGTACGCAACAATTTGAAATTATGTGTGGCAAAATCCTATTCCGAAAGAAGTACGAAACAATCCGAAATCTGTATGCTAAAAATCAGAAAATTGTCTGCAACAATCCGGATTTAATCCAACTTAAAAGCATAATCCGAAACAAATACAAATATCACAATCCGAAAATAAGTCTTATTATTATAAGAATTTGTAAATATATACAATCCACAGACAATTCAAAACAATCCATATTCAATCCAATTCAAAGACTTAATCCGGAATGATTTTGGTATAATATTGAATTTGTATATATTAAAAACAATTTGTATTAAATGCAGATAAATTCAAACTAAAATTATAGTTTCCTATGACAAAAACCTGACAAAAACCAGAATAATTCCGGATTTAATAATTTCACATTTGCAAGTAGCGTATTATCAGACTAAATTCGGACTAGGTCGGACTAATTCCTGATTCACTGGTTATATACAAACCGCATTGAGTTTGAATTTATCCGGACAAATTCTGAGCGACAAAAACCTGTCCATAAGCAGACTGTTTCGGATTAGCTGAGGATTCACTGATGGTTAAACCAACCGGATTACTTCTGCATTGACTAGTCGCCTATGATCTGACTAACTGCAGACTAAACCAGACTAATTACGGATTCAATAGTTATAAAAAACGGTCTCACTTTTTATTCAGGGTATTTAATTATGGTGAATAAAATGTTTAATTCTGCAGTCAATTTGTTTTTACAAATTTACTAGTATTATTAGTTATCCTGTTTCAATATTAAAATTAACACTGATGTGTTAGTTCCTTGTCATTTCTTTTCGTGGCACTTTATAAATTCTATTATGAATTTGAACTCCCATGCGAGCATGGTATAGTGGTTAGTGTATTCGACTTCGGTGCGAAATAATGTTAGATAGGTGTAGGTTCGAATCCCAAGCGTTAGAAATTTTAAGTTAATGTAAATAAAATTGCGATAGGTAAATCGAAAAATATGTTGAATGTACCATTAACTATAATAATCTTCGAATTCATTCATTCATTCAGTCTGTCCACAGCCTGTATATTCTGTCCACAGTGAGAGAGAAAGATTGATAGAGAGAAAGAGAGGGAAGTATCGCCTGTCCTTTTAGTTTAGAGTAGGAGCGAAAGAGAGACGAATATTATTATTATATCTATATATATTAAGTTAGTCTTTCCTTATATATTCTGTTCACAGTGAGAGAGAAAGAGAGGGAGGGAGGTATTGTCTCTCCTTTTAGTTTAGAGTAAGAGCGAAAGAGAGACGAAAAGTTAAGAAAGTAATGCCCACTTTTTGGGTTTAGAAGGGGGTATCATGTTTTCTCCATTTTCCGTGTCAGGTAGAAAGAGAGTAACAGAATTTGATAGAGGAAGGAAAAGTGGGGAATTTTACTTTCAAGCCAAAATACGAAATGGGCGTCTTATTTCCTTATTGGCTAATTATTTTTCTGTTTTCACTCACAGATAGATTAAGGAGTAAAAGAAAGGGAGATCAAGAACGAGGTATGAGTGAGAGGTATTTATCGTTGTTCCATGAACCAAATGGACAATTTTTCATCAATTTTTGACTCCCACCCCGACTCCAGTTGTGAACAATCGCAAATATTTTAAAAAACTAATTCGTATAATTATTTAAGATTCAATTATCTTCGAATAATGAGTAAGGCTTTCTAAAGTGTACCAATGGTTTTTTAAGCCTGTTACGCGCTGTAATGCTGCCTCTACAATACGAAAAAAAAGTGAGAAATCATGAGTACACTTCAGAAAGCCTTACTCCAATGTAAATAAAAATTTATGAATATTTACTTTTTGGACTCATTGAATTTTTTGAGAAATTATGGTCCTGTTCATAATTAAAATTCTACAAAAATTTGATCATTTTTATTAATATTTTTTAATAAAACTTCTATTATTTGTAAAAGATTTTACCAAATTTTAAATGTTTTCCTTAAAAGATTTTTTGTATAATTAAAAAAAACTAATTAATTTTTTGATGAATGTCAATTAAAATTTTAAATATAAATTTTTATTCCAAAATTTTAAAAATAATTCTAAAATATTATTTTGTTATGTATTTAGATTTTTGGAAATATAAATTAAAAATACTGAAAATATTGAATTTTTAAAAATTAGAAGCTAATTTGCATATTTAAATTGGCCTTTAAAGACTTTTTATTCTTTAAAAATTAATTTCTTAAAATTATAACAAAATACTTAAAAAATTAATTATTTTTCAATTTAATTTTACAAAATATCAACTATTCAGAAAGATTTTTTATTATACATGAGGCATTCTTTGTCAACGGAAGCCCCCTTCTCCCAAAATTCGTTTAAGTGTAAAAAATCGGCAATATTCTTTAAAAAAATTTTAAAATAGTTACTTTCAATTGCCGACTGGCGTTTATTAAAATACAAAATGGCGGATCCAATATGGCGGATAAATTTTTTCAAATGCATTGGATTCAAAAGAAATTTGTTACTCGGGGGTTTTTGGGGTCGCTGATTACGAATCTGCTATCGAAATTTCAAAATTCAAAATGGCGGATCCAAAATGGTCGTCAATTTTGTTAAATTTATTGGATTTAGTAGAAATTTGTTACTTAAACCAATTTTGGGGAGAAGGGGGCTTCCGTTGACAAAGAATGCCTCACTATATATTTCAAAAATTTAATTATGTCTTAAAAAATTATTCAAAAATTTTTTTTTTAAATTTGTTTATAGTTACTTTTCGCATTATCAAAATCAAAATAACTTGCATTTTTTTGCTAAAAATTGTGGTATTTTTATGTTTGAAGTTTGAAGGAAAAGACGAAAAAGTGGCAATTTTTTAAAGCAAGTCGAAAAAAGTCTCAATTTTCTTAATTTCCCTGAAAACTTTTTTTATTCCATATGCACAAAAATGGCGCTTTTAGATAGCTGACGACAGGGAGTAAAGTCATTTATTTGTTCGACCGTATGAAAATGACGATTTTTTTTCCAAGGGCAAAAAAACAGCTGGTCCCATGCTTTTTTGTCCAAGGTAAAAAAGGCCGCCATTTTCATACAAGTCGAACAAGTGAATGACTTTTACTCCCTGTCGTCTACTATCTGAAATCGACACTTTTGTGCATTAGGAATAAAAAATATCGTAAGGAATACGGGAATACAGGCAGCCAATTTGTTCACGATGATTTTTGTGACACTCCTATTGAAAATACCCACATGGGATCCTACATGGGATCTTACGTGGGTTCTTATACAAAAACAT